TTCACGTCTTTATTTGTCTTAATCGCCTCTACTGCTGTGTTAGCTACATGCCCTCGGCTAGAAATCATGTTGCCGCAACCGCGGTATCGCGCGCAGTGGTTGTGGGAAATGGTAGTTCTGTTTTTAATCCCCGTGCACTGGCTACGCACGTGCCTTCAAAACCACGTAGTTTTTTGCTATCTATGGTCGGGATCTTGTTTGCAGCGTTTGGGGAAAGCAAAGTCGCTTTGACTGGTCAAGCGTTGGACGCGCGTGCACTTTGAAAGTTTTGCCAGTTACGTCGTCGCCACACACGATTGTGTTAATAACCCGCGGTTTTGTCCACAGTGGTTGTGGCAAATGATAACCACAGTTCTAACAATGCGTGTGCTGGCCGTGCGCATTCTTCAGAAGATTCGGGCATGCTGATCTCAGTCTCAGTTTGACGGTTTTGGTACTAAAGCTCATACGACCTGCCGCGATGAGGAAAAGTGCTTGGAACATCCGAATTTTGGCCCAATGAACATAGAAAAATTTGGCTGGGAATTTCGCGAATTCCTATCTGCCGGTTTTGCATCATTGAGATCCTAGTGTACATTTAGATGAACACCTCCTAAATTCATTTACAATAAAATGCAATGGGTTTGCAAAATGCCTGGATCAAATTGGGCTGTATTATTGTAAATGTGGCCAGATCATGCAATCGCTCCCAACCATAAAATATGGTCGAAATCCGGAAGTCTCCCAGAAATTTCGGGAGACTTGGCAGGTTTGACAGAGGCCATGGTATTGCTAAGCAGCTCATAATGCTCACATCATCCAATGGCTGTGTCCATGTGCTTTTCGGCAAATGACATCCCAGCAGCCTTCCTTTTGGGTATATAGCTTCGAGCAAAAAATAGTGAGCAACTCCAAGCTGACTGAAATTTAACCAGAAATCACATGCTGCTGGTTATTGGTACACTGCAAGCAGTGTACCAATAACCAAAAAACACATGCTGCATGATCCACTAGTACAATCTTTGTCTCGCATGTTCACAGGTGCCTCGACAACCACTTGGCAACATTTTTTTACCATGCTCAAAAAGTGTTGCAGGGCTCCATTAAAGCTACAGGTTCGAAATGCTTATCGAAATTAGGTAGAACAAAGAAAAATAATATATTTCCATTTATATTTTGTTGCCATCAGTCCTTCGTGAATGCTACAAAATTTTTGGTTACTACAAGCGTCACCTGCCTGTCGAGCGGCATCACAAAATCATGAAAATTTACCTCATCAAAGTGAAGTGCATGCATTAACAGCACAGTAAAAGTTCTAAAGAAATTACCTTTTTTTATTTTAAACAGAATAGGTCATGGCTGCTTGCCATTAACTTTGGCTATAGGTATCCATAGCTAAAGCCAAAAATAGAGTTATATCTGCATATATTATTTCATATGGTGCTATAATACTGGTGAATTGCTTCAGCACTTGCGGTGAAATCACATTATAGATTTCATGGAGATAGAAAAAAAAAAAGTTTTAATTAGCCACATGTCGAATTATTGAGAGTAGCAAAAAAAACTATGAACAAATGATTGCTGCATCAAGCCGCCTTAATGCACCGAAAGAATCTGCAGATCCTGTTTTTACTTTGCACGAAAGCAGTGTGAAAGCCGCAATCCTCACTTTTTGACTTGCTTTAGAATGCAGCTGCCATAAAACAACTGTATTTTCATCCCCCGATCACCTTTTTCTTATCTCATAATTTCTATATTTCAACTAAAACGAAGTACCAGTAACACCAACCACCTGATACTTTCCCTGGCTTCATTATCTGTTGGTTTCATATGGTTGCCTCACCAGATTCACGCCTGCGATGGAGACATGCAGCAGTCGTGACTTCTCAAGTGCTGCTTGCACTAATAACCGGCAGCAGTACAATTTTGGGTATTCTTGGGAAATGCACTACACCAGTATGCAAATGGAGCGTACAAACTTAAGAGAGAGGAGAGGCTGTCTTTGTCCTATTTACTTCCCTGCATGGCTCACCCTGGGCAGTAACCTCATCAGCCACCCTTTATGTGCTGTACAGCACAAAAAACTAGAATGAGGATAATAAATGAGAAAAAGCAGTACAGCTAGGTATCATGACATAGACGTGTAGAGTTAGGACGGGACTATAATTTGCATGTGGTCGTCAGGGTAACAGGAAAGAGCCTCTGCTTCGAAGAAGATACCTCACCACCTTGCAACATAACCTCTCCTCAAATTTCATCGGCTCCTTTCTCTGCCACTATATCATAGCTCTTTTTTAAGCTTGCTGTAAGAATTCTCGGACAGCTCCTTGCGATTTCCAGCTTATGACCAAAACTTTCAATGGAGCCTGGCAATGGTCCTCTGAAATTACTTTCGGAACTGCATTTGATGTACAATATCACTTTTTGTCTCAGACATTCCATCTAGGCATGCACACATACATTTCGAGCAGGAAAAGTCAGAACATTATACATCACGCTGAATATGAAAGCAACAATTTCCCCACTGTTTAGACAGAAAACATTACATTTACATAAAGCTTGATCAACTTATTAAAGACAAAATGTAAAAGCAATGGGAGAAGAGCGAACCTTTCACTCATCAAATCATGTGCCTCTGAATCTTGCAGGAATCATGGCTCACCTTTCTTAAGAACATGGGCAAAAAAGGTTTGCAAAAAAATAAAGAGGGAAAGTTGCTAGCACTAATGAAAGAGGAAGGCAATCATAGACTGAACTGAAATATTATAGAGAAAGTATGTATGCCATGCTTTTCTGAAGTCTTGTGGTGTCATTCATTGGCAGATTCGGAGCCCTTCCAGAGGCACTTTTTCTGCTCCATGCCGAGCAAGTCAGAGTGAGAGTACTTTTTGTATGTCCCAATGGCAGATCCGGAGCAGCTCCATCACGAGATCCACTCTACAGAGCAACTTTTTCTACTCCGAGAAAAGCACCAGATTTGACCGTTAAGTCACAATAACCCCGTGTCCTCGAACACTGCCAACTGTGGACGCACCAGCAGACGCCGTTTGCATTCTGCTAGCGTAGCGTCGTTCTGCCCAGTGTGCCTACTCACGCAAGAAGGGAGATGCACACATCACACTCCATTCTGATCCTGCCATTTGCTCCAGAGGGAGCGAGTGTCTTCCGTTGGTAGATTACCTTCGGTTGCCCTCTACCAGAGTGGAGTTCTCCTGGGCAGAGTTCGTCAGCCACTCCAAATCCGCCAATGGATGACACCATTCAATTCACAAAATACTGCATTATGTAAGTGAGCAGAAATGCTAGCATCACAAAAGACTTTACGAGTGTGGTGCAGATTACATGTGAAAAATATGTTACAATGAAAAAGACAGTAGCGATGATAAAAGTGAATCCATTAAGATGTGCCTGCAGTAGATTAACGTGAAGTGCTTATGAACTGGCAACAACTTATGAAATAATTACCAAAATTATTTGTTAACCAGCTCTGTTTTACTCTAAGTGGACATTGCAGAATGGATGAATAAAATCTCTTCATTTGCTGACAAGTTTGTGATGCCAGAGAGCTCAACATTATTTATGCACAAGTGTTTGAGCAATACATCAGAGAGCAAAACTTTAGGCAATGAGTACTTTCAGACTTAAAGGCACACTAAAGTGAAGCATTCAATCAGTTTCTTCTGAAAAATTACCTAATGAGAAGTCTACAGTCAATTTCACAATAAAAAATTCATTAGTAAAGAGCAAATGAAGGTACTCAAATTTTAAAATTTCCGAAACCACAATGCCAATACACCAATGTGACACCACATATTTTAGAATATTTCTTTCCTATTTTAGTCATGCTAGCTGCATAAAAGTTTTCGAAGCCTGTCATGCATAACTTATGGGTCTCCTAGAGTGCATAATTTATGGGTCTTTTTGAGTACAATTTAGTCCATTTTACCTGCTAAAAATTACATAGGCCCTAGCAGGCATTGCCAAACTCTATAATGTCAAGGTGAGCTGGTGCAGCAAATTCAAGGTGGCACTGCAAACTGTCTTTCCTCCTTGTAGCTTTGCTGGCTTATCAAGTACCTTCTAGATCAGTCGCTCTCAAATGAGGACCGGCCAAACCCAGTCTCGAAAAAACAAAAAAAAAGAAATTGTTTTTTTTGGAGGCACACTATATCTTGCGACAGAGGCTCCCCTGAATTTCGGTACGCTTCACCGTATAACAGCAGTGCATGTTTCCACTGGAAAATTATGTTGCCTTGTTCTGTAAAGCTTTCCCAGCAGTTTCCTACAACGTATGCACTTGAGCATGTATTTTCCAGGCTCGTAAACTTCATGAGCAAACATAGCTAAAAACAGGTCGAGCAGACCACACAACTTAATGACAAGCTGTTGAGACTGAATTGGCATTGACCATTCTTTGCAAGGGAGAAATAAAAGGCACCTATTTCACACTGCATGTTGCATTGATTTGTGACTCCCCCCCCCCCCCCCTTTTTTTTTCTCTCACTGCAAGGGGTCTCTTCACCACCTCCACAGGTTCACAAAGGATCTCCAAAACATTCATAGGTAAGGACCACTGTTTTAGACAGGCAGGAGTGGTGTTTCTATATATTGTGAAGTGGTAACTTACTACTACAAATGAAATAATATCTCCCTATACTGTCCCCTTATATTAGACTGACAGTTAACACTTGTTTAGGGTCAACCACAAAAGCCCTTAAGTATACGTATTTTAGCACATACGGATGCACATAGAAAGCAGAAGCCATTTATACATACTTTGGGGTATGAGAGTGAGCTACTAATCACACAATTCTCTTGTGCCAAAAAAGAGGAGGGGCTTTTGTGTGTACCTTATATCCGCTAAGCTAGCCGTGCAGCATATGACGAGTACTGAGTAGGCAGCCTGTGCCACCTGTGTAGTGCTTTCCAGAAAGTGAGGCAGAGCCTCCGCTTTACACACATGGCGGCCATCAGGGCAAGCACAAGCAGCCCCAGCACCAATGGAACCAAGGGAGACCTACCGACTGGCACTCGGCCATGAGATGCATAGAAGTGCAGCAGGAAGTTGAGTGATCGCTCCTCATTCCACTGGGTGCCCTCGTGGCAGTCGCTGCACAGTGTACGTGGAGGAAAGGGCTGCTTTGGGTGTAGCGGGTCCTCTGAGATGTCCCCAGCCAGCCGTGCATTAACTTTGTTGTGTGCTCGCCACAGCCAGAGCACAGCATCATGTGAGGTTTGCACCTCAGAGTCCAAATTCTTTGCCATCGTGCTAAAGTGGGTAGCACAGTAGCGGCAGGAAAAAAAATTGCTCACGTAGCCCCTGACTGCCTGGAGGACATCAGCACCGGCTCTGTCTCTACCAAGTGGGTAGCCTGGGTTAAAGAGCCAAAAGGCATCAATAGCCACATAATCAATCAATCAATCAATCAATCAATCAATCAATCAATCAACCAACCAACCAACCAACCAACCAACCAACCAACATGCCAAGGAACAACCATAAGGTCTTTGTGCAGGCATACACAAAAATAAAACAAAAAATAAGCAATAAAATATGGAAAGTCTCCAGAAAAAGAAATCAAATAGAGCAAGAATGCACAGACAAAACGAAATCGCCACAAAATTGCAAGAATAAAAAGAGAAGACGAGAATCATGAATCGGCCGTGACAAATAATGTGGAACATGTGTAACTATGTGAAAGATGAAAAAAAGGAAGAATCTGCACATTATGAAAAATTGTTAAGACAGTGCAAAGCTCAGATAAAAACAGTGACTGTGGACTATTAAAAATATGAAGATCAAGAAAGTTAACATTATTCGCAATACCTACAAACTATAAGTTGTGCGCTGTACGATTCAAGATGACGCCCGCAGGAGGGTCAACCCGTATGTCTACCGTTTTTTAGCATAGGAACAGATACCATGTGCAGACATATGAACCGTGTCACCTTCACCGAATAAAGTCATGAGCTGAACTGAAATGTATATGGGACCAAGATACTTTCTGAAATTAGGGACCCTCACCACCTGGATATTTGCCGCAGGGTGGAACGGTTACCGTATTTACTCGCGTAATTCTCGCACTTGCATAATGCTCGCACCCCCCCCATTGCCCAACAAAAAATTGATTTCTTTGTTTCCTCAAGTAATTATCGCAACCCCGAAAACTGTTGTAATAATGTCGTCTGCTCGTTCCAGCCACTGATGATAGCGCGCACTATCTGGCGCTATCTCTTAAGCATCAAGCGTACTATTATTGCACAGAGATTCAATCCAAGCCAAGCCAAAGTGGCAAGTGCGCATTGCAGCATGTTTTGTATGTTGTTTCGGTAATTTTGCCATGATATGGGGCGATACTGAAGCTACACGGCTGCTTTCAAGTTGAAAGTGATAGATCATGCACTAAACAATGGCAACAGGGTCGCTGGCAGGCCCTTCGGAGTCTACGAGTTTTGTGTTCGCTACTGGTGACAGCAGCTGAAAGCCACTAAGACGCGTTGGGCCTGCCGTGTGCCTAAAACTGAAATTGATGGTAAACTTTATTTCTTTAGAAGCAAACTGCAGACGATTATGTTAAATAGCCATCAGCCCAATACTGACGTCCTACGCTTACCTTTTGAAGGCTCCTGTTGAGTGACAAACGCTAACGGTACGCCCGCAATGCCCACAAGCTTTGCGTACGGTATTCGAATTCTTGGCTATTTGCTTGCACTTTTTGTGTCTCAAATAAATCTTGCCTTGTGTTGAACCTGTGCTTTTATTGTTGAGGTAAGTTTTAATTACTACTTCTCAAAGCTTGCTGTTAGTTGCTGGTGTGAGAATCCCTATTTGCGGCCACTTCGTTTCCTTTTTCGCTCTGTACGTTTTCGTAAAAAGTTTTCCTCGCGTGGTTCTCGCACTTTGCATCGGTTTTCTGCCAAAAAAAGTATGAGGATAATGCGAGTAAATATGATATATTTCAGCTCCGTTACCATGTACGGACGATACTTTGTGAAATCCTGTGCATGCTACAGAAAACTGCACTAACTAGAATTGACGTATCAACTGAACAGCACTCCGAGGTCGTATGTACCGAGCCTGCCTAACGGATCTGCCACAGCAGTAGGCGACTAGCGAGTAGCGACATCACTGCTGCAAGTGACCAAATGATTAACGCGGTGATGGTTTGCAAACTTATAACCCCATCATCATCACTTGCTCTGTCAGGAACATGGGAGTTGCTTCTTCAATGGAACACAAGCATTGAACATCACATGAAATAGCACTTGTGTCAGTCATGCTCAAACTGTAGCCGCATGCCATTTACTGCACACGGATGTTGCAGGTTCCGTCAGCGCAATCAAAATACGAATTTCGGAATGAACATGCACATAATCTTTTCACAACTTCGAAATTGCGAAATTTGTCAACAACAACACCGTTTGGAAGGTCCCGGTAGTACAGGAGAAGGTGGCAGAGATGCATGGATTGGAGCCATAATTGCATGTTTCATCGCTCTAACCATTTCGGTTCGCTGGTCGTGCTTGAGCATGTTGGCAGCATGCGGCACTCCATCATGTCCACAGTAATTGCACTACATGCAATGCACAAGAGAAACTATGATTTCATTATTTTGACCTCGCTGAAGGATATGATATATTAAACACAATCAAAGTGACTAACGAGTGTGAAGAAGTCATTAACACATTAGAAAACGGGAAGAGCAACTCGCATCTCGTGAGTTAGCAGGTGATCGTTCACCGTCGCTGCCACTCTCAGTTTGTTCACAGCCTTCTACTTCCAGCAAAAAATTCTCGTAATCAAGATGGTTCCTTTCAGGAATTCCCTCCACCGATTTGACAACACCAACAACAGTGTGTCACCACGTTTATCTGGGCGCGGAGTAGACCTGTGCACCGGTATCGAAATGGCCGGCGGCGGCACGCCGGTGTTTTAACCTTCGACGGCGGCGCATGACTGACGCGGGACTCGTAGGATTGGCGGCGGCGCGGTGCGGAAAGGAAGGAGGGATTAATACTCCAGACTGGGGAGAAGACAATACCATGGAATTATGGACTGTCTCCTTGAGCAAAGCTCTGTATTGCTAAAGTCCTCTGCGGTTCAGCGCAGCGCTTTGATGGTGTTCTGTGGCTCTGGAATATGGCGGTGGAAGCCACCTTCATTTTCCTGTGATGTCCCTTGCCCTTTTTGGCAAGAATTTGATAAGGGCAGGGAAAACCGCCATCGCCAGGATAGAAGCCTCTGATATAAAGAAGCACCTTGTGAGCTTTCCGCTAGGGAAGGGAGCAAACGCTGCCGCATCGGGAAGGGTTGGATTGGCCTCACCAATGTCTGTGCCTCAGTTTCTTATGACATCAATATCGTCCTAGTGGCGTTACAAGCAGTTGTGCATACCTTTTGACATGACTAGCGTGCACATACCCAGTACTGAAAAATAAGGTGCAAGGAAAAAGTGTCGGCATGCAGCACAACATGTGACCGTGCGCTAAGGTGACGGGAAGTCGCTATAACCAAACGTATTTTGTTTGAAGAACTGGTAACATTATATAAAGCTTCCCGGTGACGGATGAACAATAGCGTGAGATTTCGTGTGGTGCTGCATTCAATGGAATGTAACGTTCGCATGTCCTCTCTCATGTATTTATCTGACGCTCAGCAAGAATGTGGCTTATGTCTAAGCCCATCCAATTGCTTTATGCCACAGTGACCCCAAAGCAATGGTTACCGTGGTGACAAAGCAAAGAAAAGATGGTATGAAGGACACAATTATTAGAGTATTTATGCAATACACACATATATATATATATATATCAAATCATATTAACAACTTTTCATGCATAATCTGCATACATTGCTCAATTGACTTCAGGGAGGCATCAGTTTTTTTCTTTTTTTTTTTTTCGGAGGGGGGGGGGGGAGCGGCAGGAGGCAGAGAGCTGCATCACACCACCTATATGACGATTTCGTTTGCTCAAAGAATCAGACACAATGGTACTGATTGTTTTTCTTAGTTATGCACTAATTTATTTCCGTGCGTAAATGCCAAGGGAATAAAGCGTACAAGCCGGCAGATATATTCATCTGTTCATAGAAGTTATGAAAGACTCATATAGAAGCAGTAGAAAAAAAAAATGCCGTTTAAAGGACACCATAATATGCAAAAGATAGTGCTTACTACAATAAATAAATATAAAACTCTCCACACCGCCTGTGGTTCGAGAACAACCAATGCGATTAACGCAATCTGAAAGTATTGAACCGCTAATTACACTCTACCATGATTGTCATCATGTGAAGCACAATGTGAAGCATGTGAAATAAACACTGTAGTAGACCAAGCAAAACATTAAGAGGCAACAACATGTAACCAATAATTGCAAAAGGCTTCAGTGCAACGCCGGGTTCAACCCACTGCTGAACACCGAAACCACACGCCGAAACCACACGTTTCGGCTTTCGCTGGTTAACCATATGTACGGAGTGCTTGGGCAGTGATTTTTTTTTTTTTTTTGCTCCTGTCGCTTGCTGAAGCTCATACAAATTCGTACTATAACCTTGAAGGAAATCGAGTGGTGCGATTGTTCAACTATTGTGAGAATAATGGGAAGTACACAGTTGGGATCGAATTGCGTTATTTAGCGAACTGCCTATGGGTGTTCTCAGTTTCAATTTGGTTCTGCCCACAGCAGCTTCACCTGGCCTACAGTGTTCACAAGTGTGCGTATATGTGTGTGTCGGGGAGCGGCGCAAGGAACGTTATCTTCTTGAAAGTGGCGGGAGCATGCTAGCTTTTCAGGTTTAGGCAACGTTGCATATTTACGATTGGTATTTGATATTTTTGGCAAAGTAACATTCACGTACCGATCTCCAATAATACATAATCAGAAATTTACCAAGGGAACTGCATAAATTTCACTTAATTGTTTGTATAACTACGTCTTGATTTGTGGGGTTTAACGTCCCAAAACCACCATATGATTATGAGAGACGCCGTAGTGGAGGGCTCCGGAAATTTCGACCACCTGGGGTTCTTTAACGTGCATCCAAATCTGAGCACACGGGCCTACAACATTTCCGCCTCCTTCGGAAATGCAGCCGCCGCAGCCGGGATTCGAACCCGCGACCTGCGGGTCAGCAGCCGAGTACCTTAGCCACTAGACCACCGCGGCGGGGCATAACTACGTCTTCCCTAGGTGCACTCAACGTAGATGAAAAACGACGACGAAGCTACGTGAACGCCCCTCAATGATCTGCTGAACCTCTCGGCGTTAAAAAGATCTGTTCTGCTATGTAATGAATGGTCTTTACAGCGGAGAGAGAGGTCTGTTGTATACGAACCATCACTTTCACGATCTTTCTGCTCATGAGCAC